GACTTCAGTGGTTCTATCAGTACATGTTTGCAATGTTATGGGCTTTCTGTACTGAAGTAACAGCCTTTCTCACCTCTCCTAGTTAATCACAGAATGTTACGGGTTGGAAGGGACAGCTGGAGATCATCTAGTCCAACCTCCCCCGCCATCGTAGGTTCACCTGAGGCACCAGATGGTGCCCAGGCAGGTTTTTAATGTCTCCAGTGACTCCACCACCTCTCTGGGCAGCCTGTTCCAGGCCTCTGCCACCCTCAAAGTAAAGAAGTTCCTCCTCATATTTAGATAGAACTTCCTCTGTTCAACTTTGTGCCTGTTTACTCTTGTCCTGTCACTGGGCACCACTGAGAAAAGGCTGGCCCAATTCTCCTGGCACTCACCACTTAGCTATTTATAAGCATTGGTAAGATCTCCCCTCAGTCTTCTCCAGACTAGAAAGCCTCAATTCCCATAGCCGTTCTTCGTAAGAGGTGTTTGAGTCCCCTAATCATCTTTGTAGCCCTCTGCTGTACGCTCGCCAGCAATTCCCTGTCCTTGAATCAGGGAGTCCAAGACTGGACACAGTGCTCCAGGAGCAGCCTCAGCAGGGCCAAGTATTGTACAGTCCATATAATCCATTTAATTCAGTATGTTTTACTTTAATGCTCTGGATGGTGCAGGGAGCTGCTTCAAGGAGAACCAGTTACATCCTAGCACGTATTAGTCGTGAGTTAGAATACAGTAAATTACTGGCAATAAATGAAGACAACTGGACAGTTATTTATCAAGGACACAGCATCCCTTCCAGGCAGAAGCAGAAAGAAGCAGCTATTTGAGGCAGAGTTTGTGAGTAGGAGACACTGATGAACATTTGACAAGTCCTTCCTGCGGGGGGGCAGGGTGGTGGGTGTGTGTGTGGGGGGGTGTGTATGTATGGGGGGGTTGTGGGGAGTGGGTGTGGGTGTGTGTGAGCACAAGTGTTGGAGAGAAAGCCTCTTGCTTTCTTCACTTCTCAGTTTGGGAGTTGTTGTTCAGACTGAATGCACAGTGGGGTGGAAGTAAGCTCCACCAGCACAAACTGCAATTCTGGAAGAGGTGCAGATGAAGTTGACTCATGATTGCGCTTGGAAATAATAGTTTCACTGGCATTTAGACTGAAGTTGGTGAATGTAGTGCTCTCCTGTAGGCAGAATCCAGAATCCTTGACTTCAGCCTATAGAGTTAGATCCAAAATAACACTGAGGTGATGAGTGGGCTATTTCAGTGGAGTTTAGACAAGCTCAGAATAGATCCATAAAGATGACACTTGCAAATGTTTGTGACATCTAACAGCTTCTGTACACATGATGACCTGAACAATATTATTAAATCACGTAGGGGAGCAGGAATAATAGGATCACACCTGATGTGTTTCACTCACAACCAGCTGGTGGTAGAACTTGCCTGACGGCAGGAACCAGGGGACTGTCCTCACGGCCGGGCTCAAGGATAAACTCCTAAGTTCTCTCTTACCTGTCTCCAGTAAACACATCATCAAGAGACCTTACTCATGCTTTAATTACAGGAGTTACCCATCATTTTACACCGTGCTCAGGGCTGCTCTCTGCTTTCCTGCATGCTGCAGTTAAAAGCACATGATCATTCTCTAACACAAAAATTGCCAAGTTTGCACAGTGGTCTTTTGCAAAACCATTTAATTTTTTTGTTGAGGGTTAGGGCTGGGCCAGGCACCGAACACTGACAGATGCTCTCAAACCCCTCTCCCTCCAAAAAAAATGGGAATAAGGCAGAGAGATTTACAGACCGGAAAAGAAAAGTATAACAGCTTTAATAAAACAATAACAGAAAACAGTAATGAACTCTATACAAATCCAGTATCAAACTGTATTCCTCCCCAGATAAGCGATCCCCACAGATGCCACAGAGCAGGCAGCACTGGGCAAGTCCCAGGCTCAGCAGCAGAGAAGAGCTGGATAAAGGGAGCTGGATTCGTGAACAAGGGAATACCCTTGTTGGCCATCGGTCCTGTCTGTTCCTCACTGGAGGTACAACCTTTTTCTTTCTTGTGACCCCTTTTACTTCCTGGCACCCGAGATGTGACACACAAGATCCAGCAATGACCTTGGTCACTACAGGAGCGAGTATCAGCAAGAGCCTTTCTGCATCTCAGTCCCTGGCAGTAACCATGAACATCAGGTGTTATCACTGCTAGGAGCAGGCACTGTCTGCAGAAACACAACGGAGCTGAAAAGTGAAATCACTGAAACGCAATTGGCTGTGTTTAGCTCAAACCAGGGCACAGAGGTAAGGCTTGTGACTGCACACATTACCAACTCCTCCC